GGGGGGGATAAAGGAAAGAGACATATCCGCAAACTGAAACACTTTCAACGCTGATGCAAATGAGTAAATGCCACTTTTAAAAATAAAAACTTTCCAATGGTATTAAAATTATTTCAAACTTTTGAGTCATGTTTGGTGCCCATCAAATTATGACGACTCACACATTATAGAATTGTGTACCAGTGACAAAATACAGGCAGCAAACCACTGGAAATATCATTGTAAGTATGGAATGATCAGTTTCTGGAAGTTGATTTACCGTGTTAACAGATGGGTAAGAGAACAAGTGTCAGATCACCTCCAGAAATACATTTATGAACACATGGCCAGCTCAGTCCCTCAATGATAAAATTCAATACAGCTACTCCTCACTTAACATTGTAGTTATGTTCTTGAAAAATACGACTTTAAGCGAAATGGTGCTAAGCAAATCCAATTACATCACAGTAATTATTTACTAACAGGCAGCAGCCAAACAACATTATAACCGAACATTGCACAACTTTAAATGAGTATATCCTCTAATAGATCAGTGACGTAATAACAAAACAAAGTTAACCGGGACGATGTTAAGTGAGGAGTACCTGCACTGCTATAAACTTACTTAGTTCCCAAAAAATTCTGAGATGACATAGTAAATGAATAAAGGGAATTATGGATGATATTTACTTGCATTACAATTTAAATACTCTCTGGGGGTTTATACTTTCTATATGTTCAATTTATTGTGATGGCAAAAGAACACTAAGGACACATCCAGATGAGCATGCACATGCAGTCTGTGGCACCTCAAAACTGTTTGAGGTGCTGCAAACTGCATGTGGCGCATGTGCACACATTCACTGCATTGCTAATTTGCAATGTGGCACCAAAATTTGACACCAGGAGATCCCAGTGTCAAAAAAAAAAAAAAAAAAAAAGCAGCGCAGTGCACACATCAGCAGGGTGCCACCAGAAAGAGAGCCTGGCCACCCAGAGCTATACTCTGGCTGCCGGCCAGGGTCTGTGTAACCGGATTGGTGCTGTTGCTACTCCTGGAGGCCCCCAGAACACCAGGTAAGGCTGCTGGGGCCAGCACAGGCCCCCTGCCCCCAGGACAATTTGCCGTGTGCTGGAGCATACGTGCAGGGATGTGCCAAATATGTGCCACTGCTATTTGTGCTACAGCAAACGCACACCCCTGCACATGCATCCTCAGCTGGACATACCCTAAGGCCACATCCAGATGAGCGTGACCATGTGGCACGGCAGCCCTGCCTGCAGTGCCACACAGAGCACATTTAGGTGTTCTCCGTTTTGCACAGTAGCAGCACAGGGTGGATTTTTGACCCGGGGAGATCCTGGGATCAAAAAAAACCATGCAAAAAAAAAGAGTGGCGCGGTGCACGTGGGGACAGCACGCACTGCCCAAAACCAGAGCCTGGTCAGCTGGAGCCACTCTCCAGCTGCCAGTCAGGCTCCGAGTGGCAGGACTGCCATGGCTGCAGCTTCCTGAGGCCCCCAGGACCCTGGTGAAGACTGCTGGGGCCAGCATAGTTGCTGGCCCCAGCCTCTCCCACCCCCATCCAGGATACCCTGCTGCGTGCCAGAGACTGCATGGCACAGGTGAGACAAGGTGTGCTGCAGCTTCTTGAGCCCAGGCAAAGAAACATCCACGCTTGTGTGGACACAGCCTAAGAGTCTTTATTTAGTGTGTGGATCACTATCTGTTCTCCTTACACAAAAAGTCAATTTTTCAGAAGCAATATCCAGAATACTACTAAATGAATATTCAGAACAGATTCAGGTGGTTGCATTCTGTAATAAGTGAGTATGAAATAGATGGGCAAGCGGTGACCATGAAGAACCTAGATAAAAATGACATAGTCCAGTTTAATTTAGTCTGAATCCTCTACAGTAATTCTAAAGCAGATGAAAGTGATGCTACTTTGCGCCAAGTCTTACGAGAAAGAAACAAGCAAAATAAATTAGAGCATATAAAAGAATAGAATAAAAAGTATTTTTTTTATTGTGCCATACTAGTAAAATTCTTAATACAGCCATAGGAAAAAAAAACATACCCTTCGGGCTTTACTTTGATATTTAACCGCCTTTTTCGTCTCTTCTTTAGCATGCTCTACATAGTCTGATGCATTCATCACATTCTTTTCTATGTTGTTGATCATTTCTCCCTTAAAATACAGTTTTTAAGAGGCATTATCACTAATAGCAACATCATAAAAACCTGTATGCTGGACCTGAAGACAGCCACATAAATGTAACATTTTTAAAAAGGGAAGGAATTATTTGTGTAATGTATTAATGGGTGACATTTTTTGCATCCATATGTAATGGGAAAAAAGGGAACAAGAAGCAAGGTCTCAGAAAATTTTAGATGGGTGGGGGAAACAATAGGGCAGGCAGGAATAAAATACTGATAAGTTAAAGCATATCCTAAGAACAAGGTATGCTTTAACAGATAGTCTGGAACTGGCATACTAAAGAGGTCAGAAATGTCTGAACATGTTTTTGGAAACCGCAAGAAGATGTACCTAGAGATACCCCACATTAGTCATAGTTTTTAAGGACAAAGATCCCTCACAACTGACAGCTTAGAATGCCAGTTCAGAATAAATTTTAACTTAGTTGTGATGAATGAACTTTGGGAGTGAAATGCAAGGTTGCTGATATATTACAACAGATCCGTTACCTGTGTTTCTGTCCATCAGAAGTCATAAATCAGCAGCAGTGAACAGCAAAGTATTAAAGAATGATGCACAAGTAAAGTTTGTTCATTTCCACACATTTACAATCTACTAGTAGTTTTCACAATTGTCCATTGTGTATTAAAGCTACACGTACAATAAAGTATGAACTCCTTCATAAAGATCTCTTAAATGAAGATTGATTACAGTACTACCTACTGAATTATCATGTACTGTAATGTATATTTTATTTTCACAGCAAAAAAGGTCAACTAATCCTAAAAACCTGGGTTAGTATGGTCAACTGAACAAGTCTCGTGAAGAATGAAAAGAGAATTGCTTAACCCCTAGTATCTTTTCTTTCTACCTCTAACCACATAATGATCATGAAGTTGAGCAGCAGCAGTCACTGGCTCTTCCACTGTATTTCTATTAACATTAAGTTATATGGAAGTATGGGTACACATTGTGCAAGTCTTCTTTATGCTTCTCTGCAAATTCAAGTCTAGCACATTCTAGTCTCTTGTCATACCTAACAACTCCTGCTGCTTGGTTTTCAAAACATAAATTGTTGCTGTGGCATAGTCAGACCAATTATTCTTACTTACTATTCAAATCTAAATCTAGGTCAACGTATTTATCCAACATATTATCTAGTCCTGACTAGGACATTAGACTGTGTAACTAAGATCAGTTTTATCCTTGGGATTTATACTTTTAAATGCACACAAATGTACATACTGCGAAATGCTTATCCAGTAACATTTAGCAATTTTTTGTATGCGATGGGTTACACAATTATCCCAAGCAGATGTGATCATATGATACTTTTTGGCTTTAAATCTATTAATGTCAATATTCAGCAGCTTTTCTTTAGTTTCACAGGTTGCGATAAGAGAATTCAAACAAAAGATAATAGCTGTAAAAAAGCTGCAAGTGGCAAGACTAAGATTTGAAGGAATGCAACTGTTTTTGCGTATTTTTAAACAGGAAAACTTAAAAAATCCTCAATTACTCAAAACGAAGCGTGTATTTAAATTGGTTCAGTTACCTGAGTCTCAACAAACATTGCCATGTCCATAAACATGTCATGTAGTTCCCGTATACTGGATTCCAGTTTCATAATATCTTTATGACGGGACTCAATTTCATTTAGAGCTTGTCTAGTAATCTGGGAGTCTGAGATAATCTTTGGAAGAAGAAACAGACAGACATGATTAATGTAATTGGCATGGTCCTGAACCAAGGAAGAAGCAGAAATATATGATGGCCACAAATTGGGTTGTGAATACGTACATCAAAAGTGAAAATAGAAGGATTACCACTTTCTAACATTTCTTCCAGTTCTTCATCAGTGGTGGTTTTTCCAGCTAGGAAGAAGGCATATTCTACTGTTAGGAAGTATTATTACTTTAACTACTCATAATAAAATTATTTACTATAGCTAGGCTCATAATTTAAAAACAGAAGTATGATCACTGTTCATGATAAGAAATATGTAGCTGTTAATACCAGACATTTGCCTCAGCTGTATTAACTTGTCACTTCTGTTAATTTGCATTGCTTTCCTACTGTTGCCGTTGCCCATATTCTACTATAGTAAGTGTCTGATTTGTTACTCTGGTCCCACTGCTCTTTTCAACACCTCTCAAACATGTAGTCCTGCAGGCAATTTACGGTGCAAAGAGTTGGTTGATCATATGGACCCAGCTTCCTCCGTCCTGCTCTGGAATTGATAAAAGTTGCCAGGAATCTGTACTTACTTCTTTCTAGAATTTGGCATTATTTACAAGAATTTAAAACAAAAGTTCACAAGAATCAGCCAAATCCTAGCCAATGAATTAAAATATGTCCTGGTGCCTGCTGTAGCACAGGAAGGGACCAAATAACCATAGAGGTCTTCTTCAGTCCTATGTTCCTTTCTCTGACTTCCTAGTCTGTTCTCTGGGGATTTTCTCAATTACACTTCTGGTCCTCTACAGAAAGCCACTCTGATTACCATTATCCCCATGTGATATAATGACTCATCTACAACTGTGAGTCAGCAAAACACCCACTCAGCAAAAAAACTGTTGACTGAGAAGTTGTCAAGCAAACACAGAGCCCGTTACAAATTCATTTAAAAATTTCTAAAGTTACTTTTCCCTGCAAGCAGTTGAAATAATACATGGCGGCTACAGAACGACAAGCTGGGAAACTGGGATATGCACACGACTGATGACATCAACAGGCAATTCACAAGAACTTCTGTATTAAGGTGCGTCCACAAAATGAAAAGGTCTCATCTAATCTTCTGCTCTAAAGTTATTCTGAATAAGTGTTTAATTCTGTTGTAACTTGTCAGGTTTCTGGTTAAGTTGCAGAGAAAAAAGCTAGAACCAATTCCATTCATTGTAATGTGGAAAAATCAGCTTATTATGTTAAGAAAAAGTACCTTAAAAATGGAGCGATCCTTCACAAGTGAAAAAAATTCAGCAAGTGATACTGCATCCAGGGAATAACATGCAATATTCAATAAAGCCGGAAAAATAGAAAAACTGTGATCCATTTAAATGATCCACAAACAAATCATCTTAGTTCATAAGTTTAAATAAAACACAGTAAAGAATCCTTTGTCAGAGACACCCAAATAAAATCAAGTTTTAAAAACCCTGTGACTATATTAAGGCTTCTTTCATACCCTGCCTTGACTGAAAATAATTTCTAAGAATCCTCAACCAGATAGTCCGAGCTTTCGTCTCAGCTATGCAGAAAAACAGACAGGATGTGGTTTAATCAAACTATAGCTTACACTCATCTGGGAACTACCTGCATACAAATTGTACGGTGCAGGTCATCATTCTTTGCTCAACCATTTTCACCTGTTGGACCTCTGCACATAGAGACCTCATCCTAGCCCGCCTGTCTCTGCACTATGTATTAGCAACTTCACAACTTCTGTTTTTTAACTGGATCCAAACCACGGAACAAGTACCGGCACTGGACACAACTGCAGCGCAGGCATTAGACACTGGAAGAGCTGCCCACCCAAGCAAGAGCACAGATTGCTAACACTTCCACCCATGATGCCACACTACCTTTGAAATGGTTTGTAACAACAATGGCTTCAGAGCGCATTGCCTATACTTGCTGTATAATGAAGACTACAAACACAGGTGTCAAACTCATTTGAGGCGACAGGCTGGATCCAGACTGCATGGCTTCTTTCAGGCCTGACCACCCACTTCCAGATCCAGTCCGTGTTGCTTCTCACCATGTCTGCCAGAGCTGCTGTGTCAGCACAATGAGCACATGGGAGGTTAATGTTCCCGTGGGCCGGCATTGCTAGTGGGGACTGCACACCAGACATTTAGTGGCAGGGTGAGTGGTAGTGGTGACATCAACCTGCTGTGTGTTGGACCTGCCCACACAGCAGCCCCTTGTGGGCCAGGTTCAGAAGTGGTCTGTCTGGCCTGGGAGAAACCATGAGGGTCAGATGACACCTCCATGGGATGCATTTGACATTGAACTTGCTTTCAAGGGTACATTGAACTTGCACATAAATTTGTAACTTTGGAAATATCTGAAACAAGAGAGGAAGCTCTTGTATTAAGTTAGGGTAGTACGAAAAAACTGCACTCTTTTAAAATGGTTTCTTGTAGGTCCCATAAACTGTTTTCTGAATTCCCCAGTTTAAAAAGGTGCTTTCTTATTTAACAAGTTAAGAAAACATTTTTTGTGGATTTGCTTCATTAGCTTGAACAATCCTGAACAATGAGAGCAAAAAACCCAACCAAAAAAACCCAAACAAACCTCCCCCCCCCCCGGTATCAAAAACTAAGGTTAAAGTTATGGGAAAGCAAAACCAGAAGATGGATGGCAAGTGTTATTATTACTCCTACACTGTCTGAAGCAAAGAACTAACAACAGAAGGCATTCTATTGACAACCAAAAGCTATTAACATTTGAATTGAGGTTTCTAAGTGAGAAACAAAATTCAGGTCACTTACTTATTTCTAACTGTCGCTGTATTCGTCCTTTACTCCGCTCACGAAAAAGTGTCTGCGTCTCATTGTATTCTGTCATGACCTCTACAAACTTGCGGGACAATACTGAGTGCTAATATTTGAAGAATAAAAAAAAAAATGTATCTATATAATGCAATATTCTACAAACAAAATACAACTACAGAAAAATAACACAGTATGCAGGTTCCCAAAAATGTTGTTGCCCTTTTACAGATGACTGTCATACTTCTGGAGATTTAATTTTCTTAATCCTTGCAGTTCATCTGTGCGCATCCTACCTGTGTTTTTCGTATCCTGAGGTCCACTGAAGTTCTATTAGCATTCTCATCCTGTTCAAAACTTAGTTCAATTGCTAGGAACAAAATAAGAATTCATATTATAAAGGAGTTAGGGATATAACATACAGTATAACTATTATAGTGATGCTACTAAAAATAATTGCTATTTTATGAAGGTTACTTTATAAATCTTAGAATTTATAACAGATAGAAACAGATAGTTTGTCCATAAAAAGATTCATCACATAATACAAATTAAAATGTATTACTGATACAAAACATTAGGTGAAGAATTCAACTGCTTAAATATACAAATAAACTTAAGTAACCTGTTTCCTACTGATTTATGGGGTTATGTTTAAAAAGTGTTTAACAAAATTGGGTTGCTAGGACAATTAAATAATAAGCCTCATTTAAAGAACAATTATTTGTTCATTAAATAAAGCCTTAACTCAAGATATCCAGTTATGGATAACCTAATGTAACCTAGTGAATAAAAAAAAGGGCTATGTTTTATTTGACAGAGGCCAACAGTGCCTTTTACAGGTTAACTTGGCTCACTTTCAAAGCAGATTAACCTAAATCACAAAAAGCACTCTTCATGTGGACTAAAAGGGTTTGTCCAGACGAGTACAGACACGTGGTATTATGGTGCCACAGACCCATCTGCAGCTCCACACATCGCACATGCAGCCATTTCCCATACTGCTACTTTGCAGTGTGGGCAGGAGGGCTTGACCCTGGGAGATCTCAGGGTCAAGAAAACCCACGTGAAAAAAAGCGGTGCGGCGCAAATGGCGGCAGCACGTCCCTCCCAAAACCAGAACCTGGCCGGCCAGAGCCATGCTCTGGCTGCCGGCCCGGCTTCCTGATGCAGGAGTGCTGCAGCTGCAGCTCTGGGAGGGCCCCAGGTAAGGCTGCTGGGGCCAGCATAGTGGCTGCTGGGGCCAGCATAGTTGCTGGCCCCAGCCTGCTTTACCCCACCTGGAGTAACCTGCTGCGTGCCAGAGTGCACGTGACACAGGTGGCTCCCTGGGGACAAGTAGCAGCAGCAAAAAGTGTGGTGCTGCTACTTGTCCTTGGGGAAACACATTCCCGTTTGTCTGGATGCACCCAGAGTGTCTACACAGGGGAAGTAGTCCATGGTAGCCTTTTTGGGGGGCTATTTCCCTATTTATACAAGCCCTAAGACTACTATATTATTATTTTATTTATTTGTTTATTTATTAAATAAAGGGTCTGATTTTCCAAAGCACTCTGCAGTAGGAATTTAAATTTTGGACCAGATTCTCAATTAGAATGATACATGACTGCCCACAGCATCTTACTCCATCTGGCTTCTTGTTTTAAAGAAAAATTACAGTGAGTATTGTGCCTGTATCTAATGTATTTGGCTTCTACACACTTCCTTACATACAGTGCATTAGTAAATGCAGATAAATTTGATACAATAAGTGACATTTATTTGAACATTTAGAATTCTAAGTAAAACTAGATTTTCTGTCATACTATACTGCATTTTCTTACAGTATGGGACCTTATGATAAGGACAATAATGTCTCAGTTATATGATTATGATGGAGCTATTACACTGAAGTGAAAATTCCACAAATTTAAATCCTTCCTTGATATCACAGACGCATGCGTTAAATTCTATGAAATATTTAAATTGCTTTTCCCCCCCCCCCCCTCTTGTCTATTTTTTTTTTTTTTTTTTTTAATACTTACTCTTTAATTTGGCTCGAACTTTATTAGCAATTTTCTTAATTTCTTTGTTTAGGTCCTCAAGTTCTTCCTTTGTTCCTTTTGTAATAGAATATAAAATCAAATTTTAGAATATAAAATCATGTTTTAAAACATTTGTACTCAATGATAACGCAGACAAAGCGAACATTTCTTTTGGAAGAGGCAAGAATTTTGGGAGGTAATGTCTGGGGCTATGCGAAACAGCATCATTTCGTTTTGATGTCTATTTCATTGTTCCAAAGAAAAACGTGTTTCATTTTGTCATTCCGTTTCGAAACACTGAAACAAAACCGAACATCGAAACTGTTTTGCCCATAGGCTATAATGGGGAATCATGAAAATGCCTTTAACGCTCATTTCTTGCCTGATTCGGATGAAAATTGCAGGGATGGTAGCCCCTTCTGAGGGTGTGAAGCCTCCCATGTTTCAAGAAGACAAGTGCAGAGGTTTCTGGGAAACTGCACCTCAAACTGTTCAAAGCAAAACTTGTGACACTTGCTGGCAGCGGCAGCCTCCTGTCATCCAGCACACAGATGTGGTGGCCCGTACCCCCAGGATGGTTGCAGGGCTATGCCAGACTCCCCCTGGGGGTGTGGGCCCCCAGATCTGCACTCCAGATGACAGAGGCGCCTGCTGCTGCCTGGGACCGGCACTGGGTACAGCCCATGGACACACACCTGGCTTGTCCCTTCCACACTTCCCATGCCCCTGGGGCTGGCAGGAAAGGCCTCAAGGGTGGCTGGTAGCATGTGAGACCCTGCTGAAGCAGCCATAGCAATAGGGGCTGCACTCCCTCCTTCCTCCTCCCCCCCCCCCCCCAAAGTACACACATGGAGTTGGGAGGTAGCAGGAAATAGAAAGAGAAGGGCATGGCAGGATGAGATCCTGCCCCAACCCACTAGGTCTGATTCTCAACTATTTAGCCTCAGTGCCCCCTTCATATTTTTCCTGAATTTGGATCCATCTCACTGCTTTTCAACTGGGGTGCCATGACATTCAGAGAAGTTGTGGAGAGGTGCTTCAGCAACATGCCCCATGTTGGGAGCCAGCTCTTATGGACATAAGAAGAGATAGTGATGTTGTTTACTTCTATCATCATTACACACTCAAACTAGATGCCATGCATCTTTTACTGCAAACTTTACTAGGTAATTTTTATTGTACTGTAAAGTACTATAATCTTCATAAATAAAAGAATATTGACAAGATTACAAAACAGATGCATTTTTGGAGTTCTAAGTTCAAATCTGATAAAACAATTTAGGGTTTTAAATCTTATGTACTCTTCGGCAGAAACTTTCTAGAAAGATCCACATTTAAAAATACTGGCGAACCTGAATTAGTAACCGTAGAGAGGCAGAGCTAAAATAAATAAATAAAATACACAACAACTTTGTTTTCGAAACAATAACAACTGTTTAATCGTACCTAGTATAAATGCCACTCTGTACTAACACTTGCACAAACATCTGCATTTCTCATTCTCTTTTCCTTCCTCTCATTTTACATTTGAAACTTAAACACAAGTGTTTTGACTAGTTGAACAAACCTGATATCAGAACCCTTAGTCTCAACAGAACGTATTGTGTTTCAAAGAAACTATTTAATTGAAGCTATGGAGCTTTCTCCACACACTTCCTTCCTTCAACCTCCCATTTCCTTCTAGTTATAATATACACATTTTTCTGATCTTTATTAGTGTCATACAACAAATTAAATATACTCTGTTCAGATATCAACTTTCTCACAAACAATATGACCTCATTTGATTCGGCTGCATACCTAATGATTGGTGCAAAATCCATTTAGTCTCAATTTCTAATTAAAATAAGTCCTCCATTTTCTACAGCACCAAGGTAACAGATATAAGCAAAAGCAGCCCCTTCCTCGGGGCTAATTTTTCTTGGTGACTTCCCCACCAACTCTCTCCAGTGAAGAATCACCCTCTTACAGAAATACTCCTCTCTCCCAGGCAAAAAAAAGTTCTTCTTGGCGACAGTGCCAAGGAACTGCAGCCCTAACTTGGCCAATTTGCAACCAGTAACAACTTGCTGCACCTAAATCCCATTGCACTTGGCATCCAATTATACTCCCTCTTTCCTCTCCTCCCATAACCTGTTTTGCTCTTTAGGCCTGATCAATCACTCCATATAAAATCCAGATATTACTCCAGATTTTTGGCAGTGTAAGTTCACTTAAGCTAATGATGAATTTTAGTACAAAGTGAAGCAATGCAGTGGTTAATCGAGCATTAAATAATTTTTCCATAACAATTTGAGGGAAATCTCCCACCCTTGTTCCCACATTGATACAAATACACTAGGACCAATCTAGTTGGCTGAAAAATCCTACGAAAACAAACCCTTTAAGAATCCATAGTTATCTAGTGCACGGACAATCAGATTTCTCCATTGACGATACCTTAAAATTAGTGCATGTATGAATATTATGGCAGAAATAAAAGGAGTGATAATGTTAACATCCACATCGGTAGCAAGGATACTTTGAGTTCTTCTTAGCATTCTATTTACTGACAAATGGGGAAATACTTTTGTTGTAACTATTTAAATGAGAAAATGATAAGCAACAGAAATAAACTGCAGGGTTGAAAAACCTTTAAGTAACTTTTAAATGCTGTCAACCATGGCCAGTATTAATTTAATAAAGGAAGCTAAAATCTTTTACTATCTAATTTCCTCCTTGCAATGTTACAGCAGTGAGAATTGGTGGCAATCATGTTCAGAAGGTTCCTGGATATTAATTCTTTACAAGATGTACATGTTTTATACCAGAAGCAGGTTAGCATTTTTTAGGTTTGTGTGTGTCACTGCATGTGTTCAAGTTTGGGAAATATTAACAACCTTATTAACCAAAAGCAAAGGTCACAGCATTTAATTCTAAATCGTTACAGATTTTTTTTAAAGTAGGATTTTAAAAGTAGGACTTCAAACAACAAAGTACAGTGATTTATTTTTATCAAGATAATTATTTTCAAACGCTTTTTTCTTCATAAATAGTGTATGTATACACTTCTGTCCACTTACCAGTGATTGTTTTCCCCATATCACATCACTTCACTGTACCAGGCACTGCCTATATTTCACTGTAGAATATTGTACACAGTGAAATAAGGAGGGATTTAGCTAAGTCCCTACAGTGAATCCAAGAAGCAGATGCTGTAAGTAGCTTATGAATCAAGCTCTTAGACATATAGATGCATATGATAAGGCCTAGATGACTTAGGAGCACAAGTCCCATTGAAAGCCAGACTGCAATTTTAAATAGTTTCTCATCATACGCTGCTTTTATATGGGCACATGGTGCTGAAGACAGTGTTTTGTTTTTTTTAAAAGGCTACATCTTGCCAACAAGCACACATGGACTTCCATAAAGCACTTTATAGCTATTAGTAGGATTACTTGAAATACTGAAGTGGCCAAAAGTACATTCAAAATGAAAGCAGCGCCCTAATGCATTATGCTTTCTTGAAATAAATATACAGATATTAATATAAACAGGAAAACAAACTTGAACATTTAATTGAGTGATGAATGGACAGAAGAGTAATTCTTCACTACTGAACAAAAACACAACTGTATACATGCAATGCTAGCATATATGCTGTACTGATGTAATTACATACACTTTGTTACCCAGTAAAAAATAGAGTTGCAAGCTTTACTAAAAGAAGCTTCAAAACTAAACAGACTGATTATCTATACATCTAAATATATTTTAGGCCAGTTTTCAGGGCCTGTAAGACATCTGAGGGAGAAGAGCAGTGCAAAGGAGCTCTAAAGGTGGCCTACCAAGCAGATAAGGATTTCTCCAGGATGGAGTAAATCCGGAGGGATATACTCTGCTCTACTCTACCCCTTCACAGTCGCTGGTCAATGATCCCTAGGTGAAAAAATGGCCACAAAGGGTGCCATTTACAGCAACCATGGAACTTCTTTAAGTTGAACCAGGAGCTTAATACAGCTTTAAAGTTGGCTTCATACCTAACTGCACCACTTGTGCTTTATATATCAAGTATAGCTTGGCTCTGAGAAGCATGTCTCAATTTTTTTTTTAACCTTGTTGACTGTGCACATTGCTAATTTGTGTAATTATGTGTTCTTACCATTACCCTTATCCACCCATCTTCAAATACTCCCATATGATTATTAAACCCATTTTGCTGACTCTTCCTAAATTAGAGTTTAAATGCTTGAGACAAAGAGTACCTCTAAAGTATGTGTGTACAAATTACTCAGAAAGGAAGCCTAAGCAGGAATTCAAACAAATAGTATCCCAATTAGTGGCAACTTTGGTGATAGTGATGCAGGTTTAAACAATTATTGAACAACTGTTCTGAAGTTTCAAAACAAATCATCACATGAACAATGTCACTCCACTTTTAACAGATTGAAATTAAAAAGGGCAGTTGCATATAAATCAAATCCTTACCCCCACTTTTCCTGCATTAAATTCATACTTTAAAACATCAACACAAGGAGAAACCTAACTTAAATGCAGAATATGAATATCCAGAAAAAGCCTATCAGCTATTGGTCTCATTCCCATTCCAAGTTGCATAATTTTGGAAGTTTAGCTATTCTGTATGTAATGAAAAATTACACTCACCATTTTTTTGTGCCACTCATAGATTCATAGATGTTACTCCTTTAGATCAGGACTTCCAATGAGCCAGAAAACCTGCAGGCAGCAGTATTAATCCCCATGACTGCCAGAGCCACTGTTTCAACACAGCTCCAGAACCCAGGGAGTTAAACACTAGGGCTGTGTGAAACAGCTATGTTTCGATTCAGTTCAGAGGGACAGCGATTCATTTCAGATCACTGTTCTGTTTCAATTCAGCCGAATCTGTTTCAGTTTCAATGCTGTTTCGGTGATTCAGTCTATAATGGGGAATCACTAAAATGCCTACAACTTTGTCATTTCTTGCCTGATTTGGATGAAAATTGCAGGGCATGAAGCCTGCCAAGTTTCATGGAGATAGGTGCAGTGGTTTCTGTGAAACTGCACTTCAACCTGTTCAAAGTAAAACTTGTATTACTTGCTGGCAGCAGCAGCATGCTGTCATCCCGCACACAGATCCAAGGTCCCGCACCCCCTGGGAGGGCTGTGCCAGATTCTAGGGGGCGCGGACCACCGGATTTGCACACGGGATGACAGCCGGCTGGGGCCAGCACCAGCACTGGGTTCTTTCCGGCACTCAGCACAGGCTGAACCAAGCAGACTCAGGTGCTGGTGCTGGCCCCAGCCAGCAGCAGCAGCCTGCTGTCATCCTGCACACAGACCCGGGGGCCCACACCCCCCAGAAGGGATGAGGGGCTGTGCCAGACTCCTCCCAGGGGGTACAGGCCTCTGGATCTGCATGCGGGATGATAGCAGGCTGCTGTTCCTCCCCCAGAGCAGTAGGATTGGAAGGGACCTCAGGGACAGATCACAGACACTGGCCAGCTACAGGTGTCAATATCAGAGCAGTCCTTTCCCCCACTCTTCCCCTCCCTCCTCTTAATTTCTGTTTCCCCGCAAGCCCGCCTCCGAAACTCCAAAATTTTCTGAAACATTTCGGATAGTTTTGTTTTGTTTCAGAGATGTTTCAGAGCCTTCCGTTTTGTTTTGGATTTGGTGTTCCAGGCGCTGAAACAGGCCGAAACACCTCCAAAACGAGACACCTGCTGAAGGTTCACACAGCCCTATTAAACACTGCTGCAGTTCAGATCCCCTTTCCCCTTCCCACCCATCTTAGTTGCCAGGGATGACTAAAACCACCTGAACTGTGGGGGCAAGGAGGACCCATGCTGAACCAGCAGCTCCAGTATCTGTGGAGATGAACACTGCTATCACAGGAGCTGCGCCATTTGCAATGATGGCCCTGCAGGCCAAGTCCAGCGCACGCAGGAACATCTTTTTGTTGCTGGATGACACACCTGTCATGTTTGACACCCTTGCTTAGATCTCAACACTACAAATACATCTTCCTGTATGGATTGTCTTCACGAAAAAATGTAAGTGTGGTTCCTTCAGCAAAAGTGGACAATGCAGTAGGCAGCTTTCCCTAGTGACCAGTTTCTTCTTTCTGAAAGTACAGATTTGTCTCCACAGGACTTCCTACATAAGACCTCTCAACCTGGGATTTCTCCATTTCAGCAGACCAGTGAAGCAGTTTGATGGCTGGTATTTTTTCTTGTAGTTTTGGCTGGTATTTTTTCTCTCTTTCTTTCTCCAGCCCCCACATTTTTTTTTTTGGCAAAAACAAAAGGAAGGAGCATTAGTCTCACTCCTCCAACAACTGGGACTTTTTTTTGAAGACCTAAAGCAGTTTCAAACAGCAAAAGGGATGCTATTTCCAAGTTAATGAAAATTCAATAATAACAAAAACCAACATCAACAACAACCAACACTACATTAACAAACTGAATAGGGCGAGCTTCTGTTCGGTTTCTGGGAATTATATAATGCATTTTGAAAATATTGAATTAAAATGTGATTTTAAAGCTGAAATGGACAAGTTAGAAGAATTTATTTCAATTTGTTTAATATTGGAGATATATATAGAAAGGCACTGCATGCTATACATTTTACAATTTTCTAACACCCTCTAAGACAGTGGTTCTCAACCTTTTCTGGACCAGGACCCATATATAAACACTGATGGCCAGTCCTGGCCCAGTGCTCCTCACTCGCTGCCCCCAAGCCCCTAGTGTGTAGGGTGGGCAGGGGGGTGCCTCAAGCAGCCCCTGGCAGGCTGGAACTCTGCAAGAAAAAGCCACGGTTTCTCATGTTTTTCTCCTATAAAGAAGAATCAGTTTTTAAAGTTTGTTTGCTGCCCTTTCAATATATTCTTGTGACCCACTTTTGGGTCGTGACCCAGGGGTTGAGAAACACAGCTCTAAAACTCTATTCTGATGAACCGTTACCTATCCATTAACAGTACCCACCCATGTAACTATCATACATATATAATATTTTTTTAAAGGACTTACTGCCTTCAGGATTTGGTGCAGACAGGATAATGCTGTGCTTTTTCTTAACTTCTTCCACATTTTGTGCAATTTTAGCTATACTATTCCTGAGATCCTCAACCTATATGGAAAGAAAAATGTGACAATGAAAGTGCTAGAAAAATTATCTTTCTGAGATTAAAAAATGTAGCTGTAACTGTAAGTGTAAGAATCTTAGGTGTGAAAGAATAACCAGAAAAAGACTGGATCTTCAAAAGTAAGGAACCGAAATATCTTAAACCATAAGATGAAACAAACAAACGAACAAAATCAGAATGCTGTAGATGGTTAAATTACACACCAAAATTGTAGGGCATCATGTTACAACATGCAGAAAGCATTTCTATACAAGTGATGATGTTTTTTTCCCCAGACTGAAAGCACATTAGTGTCCCAATGCCAGCAAAGGAAAACCCTTTTCTGTCATATGTAGGCTTGGCAGAATTCAATTTTTTTAAATTTTGACACATAATATCAATGTTTATTTTTAACCATATATTTGGATTGTTATTTATTTAAATTTTCCGGATTACATGAAATTAGGGCTGTGGGGGGCAGACAAATTATTAATGACCCGCCAGATGTTCAAGTATACTATTATTATAGTGCAGTTTAAATGTCTGTGTTGGCTACAAAGAACCAACTCTCGAGATCACAATAAATTCTAGTTTACGGGATGTGAAATTACCAATAAAATCATAAATGCAAACTTTGAGTTACGAGTGGTACTGGTCACCTTAACACACACACACACACACACACACACTCATTCAAACCCATGTAATATAGTGTATAGTAGCTGCTGTAGTGATTGTGAGAGCACTGGTGTTAGTATATCTACCTATCCGAAGTTCTGGAGTCTGCTGTTGATAGTCAGCTTCCTTCAAGGCAATGTCTTCTCAAAGGTTTCCTTCAAGGCAATGTTTTCTCAAAGGGGGGGGGGGGGTCACACTTCACTGCCTTTTATCCCTTTCTGGCAGACTTGTGTGATCCCCCAACATCATCCTGGCTGCCCAATCTGGAAGTCACTGTCTCATGTGGGTCTTGAGTAGTGCATGACAGCTGTTAGTCACAGGAGTCTCTGCCTGCTGGTACCTAAAGTTTCGGGACTCCACCCTTGACTTGACTGACTCAATAGTTGTATTGTCATGGGTTACAAGAATAGTCAATAGGGTGGGTGCTCAGTTCCAGGAATCAGTTCCTTGGCTTGATTAGCCTAAAATGGCTTGTAGAGTAGAGTTTTCTAATGGTAAGTTCCTCTGACCGGTCTTGGTTTGTCATTCATACTGGCATTCACTCAGGGACCAGCCCAATATAGCAGATTTTATCACTTTACATATACAATTTCAATGCAGTTTTAAACAATGGTCCAGGGTATTTTATTCTATAAGGAGTACATACCTTAAGGGTTTAAAAGTATAAAATATAAAGCATCATGGTAAAAATGAGACAGATGAAATATAAAAATGTACTGCGAGGTAGTGAGGATCAAAGGCTACTAGGGACAGTGAGTGAGTTAGGTTAGCACCAGGATATATTTACAATTTTGAAGGGAGCTTGTTCATGGCAAAGGGGAGATGCAGTAACTTCAAACTAGTGTTCCTTGTGCAAGGCAACTAGTTCGAAGTGATGGAACTACATATGATAATCATGAAAGCCTGGGTGGACCAAGCTGGGGCTCCAGAACTTCCACATTAGAGTAGACCTTCATGGGACTGCAAGGAGATCTTGCCCCAAACCCCTAGCCAGAACACAATCAAGGTCAAAAGCAGTTTGCAACTTCCACCTTATATCTTGAAAATGGCTACCTTAAACCACAATAAGCCATGCCTAACCAATTAGGGGTTTGCAAGTCAAACTTCTGTACTATTACTTAAGGGGCCTGTGAAGCCATCAATTTGGTTTATTCAAATCCATGACCACTAGTTAACGTGACCAAAATAAAAAGTGGGCTTTGCAAAAACGGCCTAAGTATAGTTGGGACAAAGCCAATGCCTACATTTCACGCACCTCCTTGTGGTATCACTCACAAAAGGGACTGTTCTGTAAGCCTCATTCAACTGCAAAGGTAGGCTCATGAACGCAGCCATGAACTACATTTGGAAAGAACATAATATTGGTTGCCAAAAAGATCTAGGGTTTACCTGTTTGGAGAGTCTGGGACCAAACAATGTGATCATCCATGCAACATCTGTATGCACTTATCGTGTAGAGGATCCTACCCACCCTCTCCTCCCATGGCTCATAAAACTCTTCAGAAAATCCTTGCAAAAGGTTTAGTTGCACTTAAAGTCATAATGCTTGGAGAGTGCACATTTGGCAGACTGAAGAAAAATACAATCATCTGCAAAACCAGTTTGATCCATACTACTGTGGATACTGTACAATATCTGCAAGGATAAGCATGATCATTTTTCCTAAGAGCAGGCTCAAAACATTCAGGCTTGTAGGCCCAGTACAGGGAACCAAGCAGTACACCAATTATCACTAGAATTGGGTCTAAATAGGTGAAATATGGGATTCTCTGTGTGCCCACATTCTTTATTACAAGGTAACTGATATACATGAGATGTTATGCTGTGCATCGCTACCAAGGAACCTGGTTTTCCCCGATAAAAATTTTTAAAAAATACATAAAAATCACAAATTCTCTGATAAAAAAATTGCAAATTTTCTGATTAAAACCCCCAAAATCTGTGATTAAAATGAAAGGCC